TTCCGTGGTGATAAAAAACGAAGTATCAAAACATTCAAAGGATGCTAGAGAAGATGAAATGCGTTAAACATAATTTTTAGATCTGTGGTGATTTCAAATTACTGTTAATGATATTGGACCAGTAGTCTGGTTTTACAAAAAATCTCTGCTTCTTATGTTTATAGGATTGCAAGGATCATAAAAACTATTGTACCGACAAAATATGACCCAATAAAAAAAAATTTAGTCCAGGAGCACACAACATCATCATTATTTGCAACAGCGACTTCCTAACATAACGAATGCTAAGGTGAAAGAGATTTTCGATGGGCTACAAATTAGAGAGATTTTAAACGACGAAGTCTTAATCGCAATAGTGAACATCTCAGCAAGAGCCGTGCAAAGCAGTTTCAAAGAGCTCGTTAAAAACTTCTAAAATGATTATGAAAGTTCGAATTACGAAGAAATTGCCAGAAAAATGGTCAACAACTACGATTAACAGGGTTGTTTGATGAATCTTAAATTACACAGTCAACGTTCTCATCTGCATTCATACCTTGAAAACGGTGGCACCTACAGTGAAGAACTGGGAGAGCATTTTCACCAAGATCTCAATAAATAGAACGTTGGTATCAGGAACATGAGAAAATAGATATGATGGCTGATTTCTGTTGGATGTTAAAGAGGCAAACATCTTAGAAAGGCAGAAAATAAAAAAGAAATTTTTTACATAGATAGTTTAAAGATAAACCAGTACGTTATCGGAAAAGGCGATAGAGATTTCCAAGTGGTCCCAAATAATTAGGAGTATCGTCAGTAAAGTAATATTAGCTTTTGAAAGTATACAATAGTTTAGTAAAAAAATTAACATATATATAAGTCTTAAAAATGTTTAAAACTTATCAGCGTTATTATTATTTAATAATAGTGAGTACAAAGTATGTTTGAACAATTCGAGTTCCGCTAATCCTGGATCCATTATTTTTGATTTTTATGATGTTAATACTTTGAAAGTGCTTCCATCTATGCATATGCACCTCTTGATACAATGATTTAGATGTATCAACATTCGCTTGTATACCATTAGTCGGATGAATTTCTAATTAACCGACAAGCATTAAAATCACACATCTACTTTATCGAGCTCTGGTGAAAAGATAGCTCTGAAAATTAAGAATGAGAAACTTATCTAAACTTACGGTGTGAGTGAATGTACAGCTCCTCGGTAGCTCAAGTGGTAGAGCAACTGTCTAGTAAGCAGGAGGTTGTGTGTTCGATCCGCACCCGGGGAGGATATTTTTCTTATTCTTATTTGTTTCTTGAAGAAGAATTAATGTGGTGTAATATTATGAGTTTTAAGTAAGTATATTGGATATTAAAAAAAGGGCATGTATGGAGAATATAGAGTGCTTGTGTTGAAAGTGCCGCCATCTATGCATATGCACCTCTTGATACAATGATTTAGATTTATCGACATTCGCTTGTATACCATTGGTCGTATGAATTTCTACTTTTAACCTTGAGTTAATTTGCGTATATTTAAAAATAATTAATCCAGCTGACTCTCCCAAAACGATCTAGTTGACGCTAAAGGAAAAAAGTGTATTTACATCACTTTTTAAAGTTATCTTAAAAATGGTACACACGATCTTGATTATGACTTCGAAAATCGATTTATCAGCTCAAAATACGTAAAAAAAGTACAATAAAATTTGTTTCACAATAAACTTTTGTTTTGTGGGGCTGTGTTAGTAAGCAGGTTATTGCCCATGTGTTACATTTTTTTTAAGATCTTTTTCTTTCTCGCTCAAGATGCCTATAAAAACGTTAAATATATAATTGTTCTTCTTACGTTTGACACCCATCATCTAAAATTTTAGTCAAGTCTTGACTTCCGTATCCTAAGAGTACATTATATGTGCAAAACATTAAAGATATGTCATACAGGTTGAGGCAATTTGGATGTACTTTACAGATATCAATAGTTTCGGACTACGCTAAGGAACGAGGAACTATAGAAGAGGCTCACCGAAAATGGGTCTGGCAACAGGACAGAGTAGAAACCGTAACGTCATATTTATTCGACTATAAATTAATTTTACGTAGGTAAAGGAACCACTAAAAGGACTACACAAATCAGTAGAAACACCGAAGTACCAAGTAGCAATAGTTATAAGTCAGGTATCAATTATATACATAAATATTAACTGCTGTAAAGTGACGGAAATTAGATTAATAGACATGACGTAGTAAGACTGAAACACACTCATTGTCAATTTTATACAAATGGATTTTTTTTCACTCATAAAAAATCTTAAATCTCTAATTCATTGCATTACTAAAATTGAACCTAATTATTTACTTTAACAAAAATTAAAGAAAACAAAATAAGCCCTAAGGCTAAATTCTAGAAGACTCTAGAGTGTGAGTTTATAGAAACAGTTGAGTCCGTACTTTCAACAGGCCATTCATACATGTTTACTGCTAATTCTAGCAAGTATCATCGGGTAGATATGCGATAAAGTTACTTTTTCTCAGCACTAATGTTTGGAGATATTCATACAGAGTTATGTGTATCTCTGTGTCACATGTGCTGATATTAGAGTGTATATATGTGATAGGTGATGCATCTATGATACAATATATTATATATTACACTATATATTGTATAATTTGCATCGTTACAGCTGTACCACTGTCCTTATATTTTTTGTGTTAAAATTATTGAATAACCATAGTAGTTTTTTTAATAATTAATACTTTTGAAATATAAATATTAAAAAAAATAATGCCATTAATTTCCTTATTAAGAAATAATTAAAACTGATCTATAATGCATTGATTTCCATTCATTAATTAAAATATTGACTCTATAAATATCAGTTGTAAAATAGTTTGTACTTTAATTTTATGTTTCCATGTGATTTTAATTAGTATACTTGGAAAAGTATAGTTAGTTAAGTACATTGTAAATGCAGTGATGTTCCTGAAATGTGTACAAACAATTGTTTTAAAGCTTTCTGCTTACACATACTAAGAGATGTCGTTACAAGTATCTTTTTCTGATCATCACTATATTACAACAGTATAAAATTTAATTTTATCTTGAAACTAAAATTTAATATTAAACAAACGAGCTTAAACTCCTTGTTAAAGACCAAAACAAGACTCGTTTATTATGCATGTAATTAATAATTCAACTATGTTTGATTTTCAACTGTAAACAAATTATATTTAATTAATTAATGCATTACCAAAAATAATTTGTTGCATAATTTATTGTGAAAAATTGTTAGAAACTAAATATTTTATCCCTGAAGGATTTGTGTTACGTCTACCTTAGAAAATCTTCCGAATCATACCCCGAGTTATGAAATTTAAAGAAATTTGAAAAAATTGTCTCAAAGAAAAGAACTTTGAACTCGTTACCGTCACTGATAAGGGTACAGTTTATACACGAAGGACTATCGGTTGGCATAGGTTTCAACAAACAATTTTTTTTATCATCTGACTTGACGTTAAACATCTCATTTAAACTGAGGTCCCCGAGTATGTACTCTACTGTCTGTGAATGAAAAGGCAGTTTGTACCGATGATGCGTAGAAATAATACAGCAATTACTAACTAAAAATTAAACTTGCATTGGATCAAGTCGTGAGGACAGCATTTTGTCTTGGACTTTTGCATATAAGTTTTAGTCCTCAAACTGATAGTTTTAGAAAAATTTTCAATAAACTTGGTGCATAATTCCAGTTTTACTTTTATTGAAGCACTTGGAGAAAGCTCATTCTATAAATTCGTATGAGTTAATTTGTTAAATTTTTTACTTTTTATTCACCAAAAAATTCCTGAATAGTTTCCTAGATATTTAGTTTTGATGGATAGATCCTAGATATTTAGTTCTGTGAAAAAGTGCCATTTTTTAGCCTATCAAGCAAATTAACTTTTGACTTAAAGAAAGAAATAGTCACTGCGTGTGATAACGTTTTCTGAATTCAAGTGTATGAAATAATCAAGGTTAATGCAGTTTCGTTCGTATAATTATAAATTTATTTATGTTATTATTTAAACTTCTGATACTTGACTAATATCTTATATGAAGCAAAGTTGCTGGAACTCTGCAAGATCTTGCGATTATTAAAGGAATCAAAAGTTAATAGTTTCTATATTTCCTATTTGACATTTTTATTCAATAGAAATCTAACTAACCTCATTTTAGGGTAGATCGTCATATTGATTACAATAACTTTACATAATGATTTGATTAATTTCTGTCTTTAACGTGTATTAAAAAGCAATAAAACGAAGAAATTAAAATGTTACTCTTGTGTTATTTAGAAATTAAATTATGCTCAGAACCTTAAATAAAATTTATCAACAAAACCATTCCTACATCAAGCTTGTTGAACTGTGACTGAAATTTGTCAATAAAAGTATTCCTTTATCAAGCTTGTTAAACTGTAACTAAAATTTATCAATAAAACCATCCCTACATTAAGCTTGTAAAACTGTAACTGATCTTATTATTCAAAAACACTAAAAAAAATTTTAAATATAAGTAGTGACGTGAAAAATGCAATTTATATATTTTCATACTTCTCGTTTTTGTTCATGAGTTTTTGATTAATATTATATTTACTTTTTCTTAATCTGTGTCATAATATGATGAAAAAAACTAAGTACTCTTAAGCACAAGTAAAAAAGAAGTTCAGCTAGCATTTATAAAACAAATTTGAGATTCATTTTATTCATAAAGACAGCGCTACCAGTAGCTTATTATGCCAAATATAAACAATAAATTTTTTATCTCTTGTACGTATCCAACATAGAGTTTTGAAAACTATTGTTGGAACTTCTGAATTTTTTATTGTCAGTATTTCCATAATTTAAAGTTTAGTTACGTTTAGTATATTTTTCTTAACTAAGTTAATCTTGGTTGTTTTTTGGCTTACCTAGAAATAGTGAACAAACAGTAAATAAATTGCATTACATAACTTATTTTTCATAAATTTTATTTACAGCAGCAACAGAAAAACAAAGTAATGCCGACAGTCGAGACTGATTCAAGCACTGAGGATGGTGATAAACAATGTGCATCTACAAGTAAAGCCAGCTGCAGTAAAGTTAACCAAAGATATAAACCTAAGAAAACAAGCTCACTTGAGCGTTCACGAACTATACCGTCACATAAAATACTTGATGAAGAAAGTAGCGAAAACGATGAAATTAAATTGGAAAGTGCAGTAACAAGATCACGCACTCTTCAGCACATGGAGCGTGAGCTTGGGAGTGCCTCTGGAAGCGATTCAGATGAGTTGCTACTAATTAACCATAAAAGTGTAATATCACATCTTGGGCCAACTTCAGTTGCAGAAATATACTCAGACACAGATTCATCTTTAGACCACACGTCTTCTGTTTTAACTAAGACTAAAGTTACTGCTGAAGCTATTACACCTAGCAAATTAATTGAAAAGAAAAATGAAAAAAAAGGTATGATAAAAAGCAAAGATGTATCAGACGTTACAATCTTCAAAGATGAAAAAGCATCTTCGTTACTAAGTGATAACAAGAAAAATACGAAAAAAGTGAAAGAAATTCAAAAGATGATGGACAAGAAACAAGACTGTACAGCATCTGCTCTTATTGTTCCACAGCGACAAGCAGCGAAAAAAGCATCCGAAATTATGCAACGTTCACAAAATAAAAAAGATATCCCAATAACTACAGTATCCACAATAACAATGACCTTGACAACGTCGACGATAGCTGCCGCAATTACTGCGACAACTGTAACAACAATGCCAACCTCAACGTTATCCAGTACGACATATACCAGTAGTACTTGTACACAGTCTAGCGAAATTCTTAGTTTAAAGTCTCAACCAGGAGAAGTTATAAAATTAACTCCAATCAAACACTCAAAAGATTCTAAAGAATCAAAGTCTTCTTTGTCATTTGTGCCTAGAAAACAAAAGCTTGAAAATAAGGCCCTGTATAAAGACATTAAGGACTCAAAAGATATTTATGAATTTGACAAAGAGATTGGTGAAAGTGTAGATATTATTGCTTATGTACCACAGAGACAAGCAGCGAAAAAAGCGGCTGAACATATTAAGAGTAACATAACTGCCAAATTATCAGCAGCACCACCTGAACCTGACGTTTGTGACACCAAGATTAAGAAAGAAACATTTGATGGATTAAAAAAGAAACAAGAAATGAAAAAAGAAGATTTATCATCGAAACAGCATGTTAAAAGACCTTTTGCAAAAAAATCTGTGCCAAAACTACTGTCCGACTCTTCAAGCAGCACTACCAGCAGTAGTAATAGTAGTAGCAGTAGCAGTAGCAGTAATAGCTGTAGCAGTTCAAGTGATAGTAGTAGTGACACAGATGACACTAAAAGTTCTGAGCGAGCCATACGGAGTACCAATACTTGTAAGGAAAAAACTATTTGCTCTGATGTTTCGTCAGAAAGTGATTCTGAACACCATTCTAACAATCAGGACAAATCATTTGTTAGCGGCCGACACAATCATCTTAAAAGTGAAAGCAAAATTGAGAAGAAAACAGTCGTTAAGTTTGAAGATAAACAGCTAAACGACGATCAAAGAGATAATAGTACAATCTTACATCCCTCTACTTTGCCGACGGGACGGAAATTCAAAAAGCTGCCTGATAAGAAGCTTAAAACTTCCGACGGGCGGCTTGAACAAGAGTTTCAGCCGTCGTCTATTGAAAGAGATGAATCGAGTCGACTCCCCTCAATCAGTTGCAAAGATGAATTCAACAAAAATATCAAACAACAAAAAGACCAGAAACAATGCCAGCATCAACTTGACAAGCATAAAGTTATCAAGCACGAAGGTAGCGAAGTCAAAAAATCAGCTGCCATTCTGCCACAGCAAAACCACCAGCATCGCCATCAGCAACAGCACCAGTCACAAGCTCAAGCAGATGAAGGTGTGCTCAGTGGGTCTCGAGATAATGATGGGTCACGAAATATATCTAGGTTCAAGTCTGCTAAAAAGTCCACCCACGTCTCCAAAGGCTCTCAACAGCACCAATATCAGCAACAGCAACAGTACTTGTCATCTTTTAAAGAGAAAGAAGACACTTCCGTCACGACTGACAGAGGAAAAATTGCCGAGGCTTGTCAACGAAAATCAAACCAAATACCGAAAAAAGAAGAAAAAGCTGGTTGCAAAAATGTGTCTCAGATCAAAAAGGTGGAAAAAAAATTAAATGATCCTGCAAGTGAAAGATCTGGTTCAAAAGAGAAAATTGCTACTGTAGAACCATTGCAAAAAAGTAGCAATTTATATTCTGCTTCAAAGAGTCCGTCAACTCGAATTGATAGTTTAAAAAAACCGAAAAAAAGTGGCAACAAATGCAGTGTAATCACTTTAGAAGACGAAATGAAGCAGCGGCGTGCTGAACGAGATACTCCAAAAAAGTCGTGCAGAGGCTTGGACAAGCTATTAGAGAAACGTGAGCATGAAGATAAACTATCAAAATCACAGAAGACAACTGAAATTTCTAAGCAAGAAATAACTCAGCTAGCAGAAGATACTATTAAATCTAATCAACTTACAACTTCAGAACTGCGGGAAGCTTCTGAGATTAGACTTAGTGATAGTGACAAATTTGAAGAGCATAAAAGCCACGGAGTCTGGACGAACACCAAATCGTTGTGTAATGAGCTGATCCAAAAAAGAGATTTGTCTGATGTGCCACTTGCTGAGAGATTGGCTGGTCACCAGAAGCGGTTAGCTGACAAAAAAATAACGGAGTTTATTTCATTCGCAAATGTTGAATATCCTGACAACTGCATGCATCAGCATAATCAACAGAATCAACAGCAATCTACGAATGATATAACTTCTAAAGAAAACTGTGACAGCTTGGCTTCAAAAGTGCTGCTACAATCAGATAAGTTGTTTTTAATGAGCCAAATCAGTGATAAAGAAAACAGCAGTAACAAACGGCGTAGATCGGTCAACCATTCTTTATTTTCACCTCAACATTCTGACAAGGATACGGTAGTCCCAGAACTTTTTGACTTCGATCAAGACATTCTTACTGATGATATGGTTAACGACGACGGGTTTGGAATTCCACGAGATGCTGAAGAACGAACTGCACCACTTTCGTTTTCTTTTAATAACGAGCTCTGGTTTAAAGAAGATACAAAAGAGGACAGTGCCCGAGAAACGCTGCATCTCGTTGAAAAGCTTCGCATGGAACTATCAAAAAAATCTTGTCAGCTTGAGCTGGAGCCAACAACAGTAGAATCGTCAGCTATGTCTGTTGACACAGAAACAAAGAATTTTAAAAACACTGACCTTCAGCCAAAGGGCCAAATACAACAGCAGAAGCTTTTGCTAGACAGGCGTACGACAAATCTATCATCAGTTACGGTAGATGATATTCAACTCAAGAGTGTTGATAACCCTTCCTCTACACTCTTGGTTAGGGATGTCATTCTTTATCCCAATTCTCAGAGAACTGATGATAAGGAAAAAACCTGCTATGAAAATAACAGCAAGAGTTGCTACATAAGCTATGATGATAAAGAACTCAAAGGTGGAAAAGTAACATTAGCTGAACGTACAAAGCTTGACAGAGCTGAGGCGGATGAGCGCTGGGTTCCACCTAGCATAGAAAATTTTGATACAACCGAGAATTTAAGTGTCTTGATCGATAACCAAGCCCATTATGATTCGACGAGTCAACATTTTACTGCAGAGCTTGAAACAGTTGTACATGCATCAGGGAATGTGAGTAACGTAGATCTTTTACACTCAACGCAACAGCCACCAAAGCAAGTACATACAGACATACCAACCGAGCATTATTTGATTCACTCCGAGCAACACAGTAGCGAGCAGACTGTGGGTCAGGTTGTTGAACGTTTAGCGTCACTTGTCGAAGAACAGGTTGGTACGCTGCCAACACACATAGTTGAGGAGATGGCACCCATGGAAATGGTAAATCGGCACCTTATGAGTCTATCTACAGCTGATGACGAGCCAAGCAGTGAACTAGATCGAACTCTTGACAGAGACGAAATTAGTTTAGAAATAACGCGCCAGGACTATGGATCTAGAAACTCACCGTATAATGAATTATCGGGAGCACGACAAGATACACGTTGGGCTGAAAGCCAAGTATTGCCGTCGCGGCGCTCCACTTCTTCATCCATTACATCAGTATCATCAGTCGACGACCATGCTAGTATTCCACCTTATAAAGACACTGCTACTCCCTCAAATTCTCAAATTTCATCTATTAATTTTCCAACTTGCTCGATCGAGGCTGATGGAAACTCTTATCAACGACAACAGCATCATTCGTATGATGCGGTCAACAGCTTTGCAGGACCGGTGTCGTTGTTTGCTTCTCAACCAAGCACTACTCAGTTATCTTATCCATCGACAGGTTCGGCCATGTTCCCCCCGTCTTTTGGTACGCCTTTTCCAACACCGCAGTCTCTTTTATCCCACGTTTCAAAACCACTTGAAGAGCAATTAGGTATGCAGCCATCATCCTACACAGCTGCTTTCACATCATCATCACACAATATGGCTTTTACTGCAGCTATGGTCTCGCCAAGCAAAATTCCGTCACCGTTATCCACAGAAATTGGTCTGGATGACCACATGCAGGAGTTATATAAATCTCAAATGCAGCAGTTAACCCAGCAATCTAAGATACGTGAACTACAACCATCAATCACAGAAAATACAAAGGTTACAGTGGCCAGCGATTTTCTCAATAGTGTCTCTGAAGTCATTGCACCTAAACAGACTTCAGAGAGTATGCTGGAACTGCCGCTTAGGGAGACAGCCAAATGTACACCCTTGACCTACGCAGGTAAAAAGTCACCGTCCAAACCAACTAGAACTTCAGCGAGAGTTACCTCGCTGCAAAGCAAATCCCCGGGAAAGTCGCCACGGCAGTACCAGCAGCAAGAAGTTTCAAAGCCTGGACTGAACAATCGGAGTCGTGCCAAGAGCACAAAGTCTAGCCAACATTTAAGTTACCCCAGAGGTCGAGGCCGTGGAAGAGGTCGAGGTCGAGGTAAGATACCGCACCACAACAGCCTTCTTCACGGTGATGAATCAATTCAGAACAAGCTTGTAGGCACTGTCTATGACTTTGATTCGGACGAAGACTCAGCAAATGATACCAACATCGCTGATCTACGAACAATGCGTGAACGCAAAAAGTCGGTTGAATTGGCAGTAACTATTAGTAGTGAGCACCGTGAAAGCTTGATCGATAAATCTCTTGCTTCTTGTGTTACATCAAGTCCCCGGGATCAACAACCAGCGCTCGCTAAACTTGATAGTGAAGCCAAGAGATTTACACTGGATTCACCCTCAGTACCGGGTGATGACTCAACTATGGGTACTGAATCTGAGGCTGGGGGGGCTTGCTCTGTTTTTGGTGATCCCGTTATGCCTATGCTTCCTGGGCCCGTAGACATGCGAACCTACAACTCCAGTCTAAATGTCTATTGCTCCGCTGTACATGAGCCAGCGTATAGTAACCATTTTTTGGGCTCATGTATCAGTAGCTGTGGCGGTGGTGGTGGTGGTGGTAGTGGTGAAGGAGGTGGTACTGAGCCCTCTATGCCAGACACGGAGGAGGATTTTGACAAAGAACTAAACTTAGTTCTAACAGCCAAGCAGCCAACTGAACTTCATCAGGTTGATCAGGTCAAGGGACTACCAGCGCGTGACATCACCTCTATAGCATTTGCTGACGAGCCTGGCAAAGTTTCACTCACAGATTCACGTAATCAACTCAAGGTTAAGATCAAAGGCCCATTCCTTGACGCAAATTACCCCTCGAGCACAAGCCTTACAAGAATACAGCAGACTAGTCCCATCATTGCACCATCGTCAAACAACGCCTCCATCGCTGGTGCAAATAATACCTCCAACCTCCGTCGCATGCGTAAAAAAGAGCTGCTACGTCAGTACTGTTCGCAAGACATGAACATGGACGAAGGTGTGTCAGGTCAGGTTGCATCAACTCCCGTCGTTATGCCACCTCTAAATCGCACCGTCATCACTATACCCAAAGCAGTAGCATCTATGACAAGTATTCCAACCCGCGAGGATTATAAGGCTGTTGTTGATGCAAACATGGAGAAAAAAAGGCGCAAAGAACGTGCTAGTGCTTCCACTTTTAATTCTTTACTCGATGCATCATCGAATATAGAAGAGCACCAGTTACAGCGCCACCATTATCACCACCACCAAACTGTACCTATCTTAGAGCGTCGGCGTTCGTCTAGCAGTATGACGTTAAGTTCTGAACGTCGAAGACCGCGACAAGCTAAACCTCTACAAACTGTTGCAGATACTGGTCAAGTACATCCTAGCTGTGCTCCTCCAAAGCTCAAAATAAAAATCAGCAGCATGCCTGGCCAGGAAGAGATGTCTGGCCTAAGTAATCAACTAGAAGATCGTAGTAGTATCCGGCCACCAAAAAAGCGTCTAAGTAGCATACCTAACATGCCAAGTATGGAAGAGCTTAGGCGTGAGAGCATGAAGTATCGCCGGAAGATCATGGAGGCCTTTGATAACAGCACTGAAAAGTTAGGCAAGCTTAAACGAGATAAAAAAGATAAAAACAGCAAGCGTAAAAAAAAGCAAAGTAAAGACAAAGGCCGCCTTGTCGAAGTCCTAGCAGATGGCATAGCACCCCCGAAGCTCATCATACGGCTGGGCAAAAGTAGTTTGTCGAGTGAACCAGAATCTCTTACAAAAAATGACGGAACGGGAAAATCAGAAACATTAGAAGACGGTACCTTAAAGAGCACTGAAACAGTATCACCAACTGAATATAGACAAATAGGATTAACATTATTCTCAAACGCAAATACAGAGGCTAGGATTGCCGTCTCCGTCACTACAAGTATGAGTAAATCTGAGTTGAGTGCAACTAATATTCAAAAACCCAAGCAGTTTGAACATTCTTCAGTAAGTGCTCTAAGAAACGTACGCTGCACTAAGGTCTCGCCTATCAGATTGAAATTGACGCGTTGTCAAGAGGGCTACGAGCTTAAATCTCCAGAGACGCTGTCATTGGATGTCAAAAAGCAACTGCAACATGAACAGACTAATCAAATAGCTGAAGAGTTAAGGTCTGAACAACTTTTTGGATTAACAAATCTTAATAATTCTCAAGTAAACTCATCTTCTACATCAGATGATCTTTTTTCAATATACAGCCAATCTACAGTTGCAACTACATCAATGAGTACTGATACTAAGACACCGATAACATCTACATCAACGCAGCATGGCTCCTCAGGCTGCCCATCTGCCCCAGTTCCACAAGGATGCCAAGTTAGGTGATAATTAATGGCAGCTGCGTGATGAAAGTTAAGCCACAGCCACAATTATTGTATGCCGTTCTTTACGTAAATATTGATAACATTTTACTGTTTCGCGAGTGTATGTAATATATCCACGTATGTAAAATATCCATTCTTGAGATGAAGACTCATTAGTTAGTTTATATCATTATTACAAACACGTTTTATGTGTAGTATAAATTATTGATAACTATAATTATTACGATGAGAATTATTATGATAATAATACTATCATCATCATCCACGCCGCTACCACCATCACCACCACCATCATCATTATCATCATCATCATTATAATTTTCTTTTTTATTACCATTATTATAAATACTAAAATCATTAAAGTTGCACTGATTTTGAGCGTAAATTATTCAAGAATATTATGAAATAATACAAGCGCCCAAAATTATCAATGAAAGCATGTGCATTTTAAAAGTAGAGAACGCAAAAGTGGTAAGAGAAAAGTAAAAAATAAACAAAAAGGTCAGAAGGTGTCGTCCTATATTCTAGTTTAAATTGTTTGTAATTTTATTTATACATCAGTTGTATTAAAAAAGTTACTTGTTTTCATATTATTGTTGATACGTTTGTTTGTTTCCTTCTGATACATCATCATAAGTATACTCAAGCACAAAAGTATAAAGAATAACATAACTGATGACAATACCATACTCACATTAAAAATGCGAATTTTGAAAACTTGCATCAAAATTTTTAAAATTTTTTCAAAGATGGCAGAAGCTTGGATATAAGCTCTTGAAACAGTATCAATTGTAGGTAACACTGCCACAAAGGGCATAAGTAGTTCGGTGATTCTAGTGAAACTTTTAAAATTTGCAAAAAAAATTTATGTTAAAAAAAACACTTTATTTAAGACTTTTTGTGTTACTTTCTATTATTATTTTTACGTTTCCTAATCATGTAACTTGAAAATTATCTTCAAGGAAAGTTACAATATATTTTACGATTTTAGTTAATTATGAAAGTAACCAATTTGTTAACAAATGTAAAAATCATAATTGCAATCTATAATATGAGCAGGAATCAACATTTATCTACTCCTTAATGTAGATAACAAGAAAAATGATGTCATCTTAAAAATTCAATGGTGTAATAATACAATACCTACTCCATCCTGATTCACTGATCAAATAAAAAATGTATGAAAATAAATTAATGCCTGACGAAATTTACTGAAATGTATAAGACCTTATTTATAAATTTGTACAGAACGAATTCTCACAACATATTGCAATTAAAAAGTTTTTATTTAATTCTGGACATACAACAAAAACTTAAATATTTAAAAAATGATGATTTATTTATGTTACTTTCTACTGTTGTATTTAAATTAATGAATAGTAAATTACAATACAACGAACTTAAGTTTCACTGTTTTATACTGCGTAAAGAGGGCATCACTTGAGTACTCACTATCTTACTAATATATAAAACAAAGTCGCTTAAACCTTTGCAATCGCTAAGCGCGAAAACTACTGAACCGATTTTACTGAAATTTTGCATACCGATTCTTGATACTTTCTACATGATTTTAGTGTAGTTTTTATCTTGAAAAATTTATTAACAATAGCAATGAATTATCTCAAAGCTTGCAAGAAACGCCAGCTTTTCACTTTAGTTCAGTAGGATCCGCTAGCTGGCTTCGACATAAAATTGAGGCTACCTGCAACAGAATTAAACAAGTGTGGTTATAATAGGCCGAAGCGTCTCCATTATTTCTGTAGTCGTCTACCAGCAGTTCATTGAGCTATATCAAGAATGTTAATGATAGTCGTGTAGCTGGGTATCCCGGTTACCGACAACACGCTTCTCTAATGGGCAAGTGGCATAGATCTACTTCCATGCTGAACCTATAGGATTGGTGAGTGCCACCAATAAAAAAACATTTTAACCGATACCGTCCCCGGTGGAATACCAGGAGACGTATCTAGCCAGAGTACAACCTGCTCCAACACTTCAGAATTATGTAGCCGTTCCACCATCCCGCCTGGTGCCGTCAGAGAATTTTTGGCTACAAATGTAAGCCAGGGAAGACAGCCCTGAAGAGCACGGGCAACCACAACGGCATCCTTATCAGTGGTCGTGTCCCCAACGACATACCTACATTTTCCCGACTAACGATGAGTGGTTAGTTGTCTGGGGAACGACCCGTAGACGAGATATTCTTTGGTCAGCGGCGCGGCGGTGTCAACATATTACAGTGTTCTATTTAATAAATCTCGGAGACGGGGGGCCGCTAGTCGTATACTATAGTAAGTATGTATGCCTTAAGTCTGCCACCCATGAAATTTAGTATTTTGCAGTTATAAGTTTTAGAAGTTGAGCACTTCCTAAAGTAGCTTTACTCCTGTGATAGTCGTTTATTCATATAATACGGTCGATTTTGCCATAAGTGGCCAATTTCGTGTCCAGAGCTCTGGCTACTACAAGAAACTAAAACTGAATGTTCAAATTGCGTGAAGTTATTTTGAAAGTGTTGAAACTTCTTGGAAAAAAACTTTCAAGCTGACATGTCGATTCCTCAATGAGGTAATTTACAAAAAATAGTGAAAATGTCACTTCTGTACCCTGTTCCAATCTTAATTTTGCACCTAAAAACTTGTACTAGGAGAAAAATAAGCTTTCCTGCCATGTTCCAAGTGTATACATCGCATGATACATTTATGCCATAATAAGATTAATTTTTAATCTATTAGCAAGAGTTTTAACCAAATATCAAATGTCCCGCAATTTGAACTAAAATGTCGGTGACAGTACAATAACAAACGCACAAATCGAAGCTGTTAAAAATTCCAATTTTTTTGATTGACACATAATTAAATTTTCAATTTTTGTGTCCAAATATTTTGGTCACTTCTCCCCCCCTCTCCTACCTCCCCTGACCCACTACTCTGTTAGACTACTCTACTCACATAGAGGTAAGGACATTTTTTTTCCACTTTTTATTGAGGAGAAATGTTTAACGAACGAAAAATCGTTTATATTGCGTCTACGAGCCACAACAGTACTCAAAAGATTGAAATAACACTTTCGTGCCTGTGACTTCCGTACTCCTCAATGGTAAAGCTGTCTCTTTTTCCAGCTTTCGTGCATCAGAACTTTACGAAACTTTTTTCCCAGTATTGTTGGGATAAAATATAAGACTCGTGTCTCGGCATTTGGTCTAATTAGCCTTTTCTCGTGAGATAAATCGATGAATGTCGATTCCACTTCCAACATTAGTAGCGAAGAAGTATATCATATTAGGTGGTCCAAAATAGGCTCAAATGACTGCTGAAACGAAGCTATATCGATCCAAAGTAAATTTGTTGAATTTGGTCCTACTAATCATAGCTTGATCATGGTTTAATCATAGCTTTTATTTCATTCGGGTAAGAACACTTTAACTATGCAAGCAACTTAGCTACACACATCAGAATTGATTTATGCTGTATGAAATAGTGTTTGTTCCAAAATACTCTGATTTCTACTTGATGAGTACCTAATTGCATCGTTATAAACGTTTATAAACCTCGGACTACTTAATGATTATAAAAAAACTTGTAAACAAAATAACACTTCATACATGGTTATACCGTGTTTACTAGCTTGTACCACCTAACTATTGAAACTTGCTGCCAACAGATGGCTTGATCAGTGGTACTTAAGAAGCGTATGAGGGTATATCTCATAAAGCTCACCCGTTAAACGGCGCGGCTGTGCTTTAGTGAAAATGGCATCGTTCACGTGTAACAGTATACTTATATATATACACTTTCAACGTGTATGCCTATATAGAGCGAGTGGTGGCTCTAAATTTTCACATGTGCTTTTTCACCACTCAATGCTCCTCGAGAAGAGGATGGGTGATCTTCTCGCATAAAATATTGCCTAATTTACCCCTAGCTCCCTTCTAGTCAAAGGTGGCGTCTCATCTCTCTTCCCTTCCCTTTCCCAAGTCCTCAGTGCCCAGAGTAGTGCCCTTTATAGGAGCCGAACGTATAGCACTAGTATAAAAAAAAATAAAAAAATTGTAAGCCTATACATATTCTACAAATAGATGACTCGAATGTACAAGTATACTGCTACACGTGAACCATACCATTTTCTCTAAGGTACGGTGGCGCCATCTGACGAATGAGCTTTGTGTGATACACCCTCATACTGACACTGCAAGTCGAAGTATTATAGGTGAAAGACAAACGATAATACAGCAGCGTCTATAAAATACTAACTTTCTTTCTATAGATTTAGATATACTGATAAATTCTATTCTACTTTTTACTTGTGCTTGTATTGTCTGCTCTACATATTTTAAACTATTTTAAGATGTTGAGCGTTAAGACGTTTTCAATCATGAATACTAGAAAAAAAAATTAGAAACATCTTTGTTGTATTTCAATACATTAAAGTTACAAAAAATAATTGTTACCAGGATATTTAATTGAATGTTATAAAAAAAAATTTTTTAAGAATTACTTTCCTTATTAGCTGGAAGGAACTTCGCTATTTTTAAAAAAACTTTTACAAATATAGTTAGTAATGGCTTTGGTCGCTCACTTGTGTTGAAAAAATAACCAAATCCTATAAAGCACTGATAGTAGAATAGCCGGCTGCATATATGTGCAATTGATAAAAAAAAAAAGTTCACAAATATATTTCGTAATAGCTTACTTGCCAGCTTTGCTTGCTTGCTAGTGGTGTAAAAAATAACTAAATTCTATCGAAAGTACAGTAGCCAAACATATGTACGTGTCGAATTAATAAAAAAAAAGTTCACAAATTTAGTCTTTCTTTTGAACTCTTACTCTGAAACTTGCTTTGATACCAGTATTCCATATTAACTTCGTCATCAGTTGTTTATAATTTCCTCGTAGGAAAATCAGTGGATTGCCTGAATCTTGATTAGGTGTCCACTTGTAAACACCAGGGCTAACTCTTGCAAATTTTCCATTTACGGTATTGAGGCAGGAGGAAAACAGCTAATTGATTACAAAAATCAGCTAATCAGTAGTAAAAGTGAATGAAGAGACTTGAACGGTCACCCATCCAAGTACTGACTGTACAAAGTTTTGCTTAACTTCGTTAATCAATGAAACTGCAACTATATTTTTATGTCACCGTGACTGTCTGAGCGTTCAATGCTTGCTTCTACACCGTGTACTGGGCCTTTTCTATGGCCAACTTTTACTGTAGTTG